GTCCAATTTATAGTTTCTCAAAAATCTTATTTTTTCGAAGTAAATTTTTTTCAAAAATGTTAATCGTTTTTAAAAAAAATAATAATTTTTGGTACGGGAAGTTTCAGCAATTTGCCTTAAGGCACGATGCCCTAATTGCCTTAAGACAGAATTCCACTTACAGCTAGTTTTATTCATAATCATGAATATATTATATTTTAATATTGTCTTAGCTCATAAGTGAATTAAAATAATTGGAAAATGACAGTCTTTATTTGTTTATGCCTCAAGTATTTTCAATGTCAATCAATGATAAGCGGTTTTTTGTAATTTTTTTCCATTTATTTCTACAATCTGACCATATTTCTATGAATCAAAAAATTCTAAAAACTTTCCTTAACAAACTTCATAGAGATTTATTAAAATCCAAATAATCGTTTAGGAGGATTATCTTTTCATACCCCATTACAGAAGAATTTTATATATAAGATATATATTATATTTTGTAGAACTTCGAACAACGACTCCAAAAAGTAATAAAAAAAACAAAAAAGTTTTTTTTTAAATTGTTTATTTACTTCGACGTTTTGGACTAGGTACATTCCATCTTCAGGACATCTGTCAAGAAACATGATCTTGATAAGATTTAAGCATCCAATATGATCAAGAAAACAGAAAATGATGGATTTTTTAATTAATGAAATTGTTGAAAAAATAATGAACAGAAATATGATAATATAATCAAAATGAAAATGATAAAAATAAATAAGTGGATTATATAACAAAATATTAAAAATGTTAAAAATTGGAAAGTTTTAGAAAGTTTTAAGAAAAGATTACTGAAAAAAGCAGAATTAATTACCTGTATGATTGAATATACACTAACACTTTTTCACTAAAAAAGATTTTATCAAAAAAAAGTGAATTGATAAATTTCTTTTCAGACGAATAAACAAATTTTGTAATTCAAAATTTCTTTAAATTATATCTTTTTTGAGTTTGTTATTCGAGACTGTTGGTAACAAACTGATTATAGCAAGTATATGTGTGCGTGTTGTTTTTATATATCAGGATGTAAATACCTAAATTATCGATCTTAGATGAATATCGATATTGATTATTTGTCAAATAGTGTAAACACTATTAGAAGCGTTCATAAGTATAAGACAACTTTCCGCAAATAACCTCTTAAAGATGCAATTTTCATGATATAAAATTTTTGGAGTGAATTAAACGAGTGGGCATATTCGACCGAGTGTTGTACCAAGGTTCTTTGGAATTTTTTTTTTGTTTATGGTGGACCACACTTAGTTCATGATGCCTCATTCTTATGTGTATATATTGTGAGGTTTGTCCAATGTATTGGAAAGAACAGTCGTTGCAAGAAACAGAATATACTACGTCAGTATTGAAATTGGGTGGAGTAGGAGTCATTGTCATATTTCTGTACATTATTTTTTAACAATTTTATTAATTAAAAAATCCACCATCTTCTGCTTTTCTTAACCATATTGTTCGCTTAAATCTTATCAAGATCATGTACCTAGTTCCAAAACGTCGACAGTAAATAAATAAAGAAAAGGTTTATTAAAAAAACTTTTTTTTTATTACTTTTTGGATTCTTTGATCGAAGCTCTACAATATATACATATATATATATATATATATATATATATATATACATATATATATATATTAGAGTGGTCCTTAACAATGACATTTTCGAATTTCTTTGCTCCCAAGGGCGCCAATACTTCCAAATGAATAAAAAATGAATCTCTAATAGTATTAGCTCTTAATATAAACATAGATAGAGCGCACGCCAATTGAAAGTTTTTTATATTTGTTATTAGCATACGTCATTACGTAAATTCTTCCGCCATGAACTCAAGTATTATGACACATAAGAATATTTATAAGCTACTTAACCACTAATTATATCCATGTGAGCTGTTTTATAATATTTATTCATCACGAAATCAAGATAATAATTTGAGTTACAACATCACTAATTAAATAAATTTTTTGCTGCAAAATTAATCTTGATTCCACGATGAATAGGATTTAATTAGAGGTTTGAGTGGTTTATAAATATTCTTATGTCATAATACTTGAGTTCACGACGGATAGCGCAAGAAATTACTTAATGACGTATGTTAATAACAAATATAAGAAATTTGTTATTAAGAAAACTTTTATATATATATATATATATATATATATATATATATATATCTATATATATATATATATATATATATATAAATCTCGTATCACGATATTGGTTCGCGATGGACGCCCAAACTACTGAACCGATTTTAAATTTTATTGGCTCATCGTGTGCATATATATCCAACTTAGGTTATAGGAAATTTTGAAAAGTAAATTTGAAATATAAATATATAATTTTTAAAAATTTCTAAAAATTTTGACAGAAAATGACCAAAAAAAACAAAGCACTAAAATGACAGTCAAAATTTAAGGAAATTTCGATATATAATTTTTGAAAAAAAAAATGACACTTCAAAAAATAAAATTCAAAAACATGTACATATTTAGAAGTATCCAACATTTAAATCCAAATTTGATGAAATGCTATATTCAAAATCACTGTTTATAGTTTTAAATCTAATTAAAAATCAATGCTTAAAAATTTGAATAAATGTTGACATGTAAAAAAATTAAATGTCATTTGTCAGTATTTATGAAAATAATTATATAAATAAATTTACGATTTAGATTAAATTGATTAGCTTACCAAATTATTTCGGAAACCAAAACTTCATCAAAACATTATAGATCAGAGATCACAATAAAAAGCGGCATATTGAATTTAAAATTAATCATAAACAAAATTTTGACATTTCACAAAAAAATGTTTAACGACTTACTTCAATAAGAAGCAAATAAATTAATTATTCCAAGTTATGTTATAGGCAATATTGCCAAGCAAATTATAGATACAAAACATTATTGTAAAATAAATATTATCATATTATATTAATTTTGGACCAAGAAGGAAATATTTTGACATTTATAAATTTAGTGCATATTGGATATATGAAATTGACATTCACTATTTTTCAATTAAATGCAAATGTAAAAAATCAAATATTTATATAAAAAAATGTATATTTAGATAAAGATACTGCGTTGATTTAGACTAAAATTTAATTTATTCTTTAATTAAAAAAAATTGACATAAACAAAATTAAAATAAACAAAACACTATGATGCGTTGGAATTATTTATCGGGAGTGTAAAGAAATTTGTGTAATTAAAATATAATATTATTATTAATATATCAGTTAAGATATATTTTGATTGTCATCGCAAATGCTAACCTTACAGGAAATTGTAACCTCTTAAATGAAACAGTACAATCTGAGGGTATCATTGGAATCTGACAAAAACAAACTAGACAAACTAAATATTTTATCATATTATATTCAATTTTGACCGAAAAGAAAATATTTTGACAGTTATAATTGATTTGAAATAAAATGCAAATGTCAAAAATCAGATCTTTATGTAAAAAAATATTTATTTCCACAATATTTCTGTGTTGATTTGGCCAAACTTATGAATTCAACAATTATATAAATATTCATTGATGACTTAAAATAATTATTAATTTATTAACAAATAAATAATATTTGAAAGAAAATTTTATTGACATATATGACATGACAAAAGTATAATAAACAAAAAACTATGATGCGAGTGAATTAATTTTTGAAGTATGAAATGTCAAATAATTTTGAAAATTAAAACAAGTTTTTAACTATTTGTCAAAGAATCAGAGTCCAAATCTATTAAATATTTGATTTTTGGCACTTTTATTAATTTAGGCATATTTTTTATGGCAAAACAACGTTTGCCGGGTTAGCTAGTATATATATATATATATATATATATATATATTAAAACAATCGTTTTTAATTATTTTATTATTAATTCATTATACCCAAAGGTATTATTTAAGTATTCAGTCTTTGGCCGAATAGTATAAATAGTGCCGAATATACCAAATAACAAAAAGTAACCGAATAGTCATCGCAAGTCTAGGAATAAAACTTTAATAAATATTCAATGCGTTTGTAATTTAACAACTGCAGATAATGATTACATTAAAACAATCGAGTTTAGGCGTTAAAAACCTGCAGAATATTCAGTATTCGGTCTTGGAAGTTTACCCGAGCATACTGTTCGTTGCAGGTCTAATAATTGTCCTATAATAAAATTTAAAACCAAAACATTTTTTCCAATTGTTACACAGTGGTACCCCGCCTTACGAGCGACTCGTCATACGTGATTTTCGAGATATGAGCCGCGGTTTCGAGATAATATAGCGGTTATACGAACAAATTTCGTGATACGAGCCGCCAAAGAAGCGATGCCGCTTGCATCACAAAGCAATGAATCGTTCCTAGCGTATTCGAGAACGTACAAGTGAGAAGCGTAACATAAACTAATGGCGGTGCGAATGAAACTGATTCATCTAACAGCAATTGTAACAAAGATTTTCGTATGTAAAGTCGCATTTAACTAACATACAAATTTTAAAAGTAAATTATTTTGAAGTTAAAAAATTCAATTAATTAATTTTAATGTTATGCATTTTCGCAATACTATAATGAGTTGAAAAAATAAATAATGCTCATTGGACAGTTTTTTAACGCAAAAACTAGCACATATAATGAATACTTAATCATTTCTTGTTTAGTAATTTGCTATGTTTTTGCAGAATATGTATTAGATCTTACAATAAACGTTTCATTTATTTTTATTATTGATAAAAGCACTGTGCTAGAACGAATTAATAGCATTTTAATGTATTTATATGGAAAAAGTTGCTTCGACATACAAACAATTCGACATGCAAGCGTGCTTACGAAACGAATTAAGCTCGTAAGGGGGGTACCAACTGATGTGATAGCAATGTTATACGAACAATCAATAAAGCCATATTTGATTATAATAAAATATTTTATGTTAAAAGTAAATTTTATAATACTCACTCCATATCCTGCGACAGGTCCTATACTATGACCCAAGTAGGGATCAGCATATTCTCGGCCATATCTAAAATTTAATTGGAATTATATATATATATATATATATATATATATATATATATATATATATATATATATATAGGGTAGTCCTTAAAATAGTCATTTTCGAATTTTCTTGCTCCCAGGGGCTTAAATGGTTCCAAATAGAAAGTTTTAGCTCTTAACATTAACGTTTAGATAGAGCGCAATTCAATCGAAGTTTTGTATGGGAATAGCATGAATTTTTTTTCAAAAATTTTGAAAAAGTTTTTTAGATGTAATTTAGTTAACAAATGAATGAATAAAACTTATTCATTTGTCGCTAAGTTATACCTAAAACATTTTTTTTTAATTTTCAAAAATTTTTCCATGCTTTTTCCATACAAAGATTGATTGAATTGCGCTCTATCTAAACGTTAATATTAAGAGTTAAAACTTTCAGAGAATTGTTTTTAATCAATTTGGAACCATTTGAGCCCCTGAGAGCAAGGAAATTCGAAAATGACCATTTTAAGGTCCACCCTAATATATATATATGAGCCGTTCAGTGCACACAGTGACTAACTCCAAAAAACAGAAAGTGGAGAAAAGCGATGAAGTAATGCACATTGCTTTTAAAAATTCCTGTAATAATATAAGTTGGAAAATATAATGTAGAACGTATAAATACATATATAGCTTACATGTGACGGTATATAAGGTTAATTACAGTAAATAGTGAGTAAATAATTATAATTCAAGTTAAAGATTTGATATGACTTGTGGAGTTAATCAAGTTGTCAACTGAAAAAAATAATAAACCTAATTCTTATATATTTGTGTTAAAGCATTTTCATAAAAATAAATGTTAACTGTTGTAATATATTATTTGTGATTAATCAGTAATTCTATAAATAATATTTTCTCTATCAGCTGTATTCTATGATGATTAGAATAATTTCTGTCAATTTTTCGTAGTGGGGGGAATGAATTTTAGCAAATCCTTTATGTCAATTTTTCCTTTTTCAAAGTTCTAGCTTTATAATATAATAACGACTATTGTATATTATTCAAACATTTTGGTCAACCTGGTACAGACTTTCTTATATTAATAGCTTTAAAATACGTATCTTCATTATAGACACATTTAAATTATATAAGATTGGCTTATATAAGATTTCTAACTTTATCCAGCGTATTTTAAGCAAATTTACTGGACACTCTGTAATGGTTACTTTTCTGTTAGTGATTGTTCTAATCGCTTTGTTGATAAAAAATCTTCGTGGAATATTTGGATTAACTAAAATGGCGCTTTCCTTTTACATGTTTTTATTATATTGTACCAATTATCTAGTGAAAAAATGTCTCGATTTTTATTGCATCTGACTCAATAATCTAGAGTCAATAGGTAAATAGCTATTTCCACTGACCAGAAATTTCATTTCAATTGACTTAGCTCTTATTTCCGTATTTTAAACAAGTTTCAATAAACTTAAGGCAGTTTTAATATTTCTGTTTTGCCGGGTACACGAATTTTTGTATGTAAGTTTGTAACATCCTTGAGACTCTACAGTTTTTTGCCAAACAATCTTAGGGTTTATGTTTTTATCAAATTCTTATTTGTAATTCATGAAACCCGAAAACCGGTCCAGCCGGAACATATGCACTACACAAAATGGAGTTAATCAAAATGTCTTCTGAAATAAATGACTTATTATTCAGAGGTCAAAAAAAAATTATGTTTCACAGAGTTAATTTTCATTATTCCGGAAAGTCATTATTATCACTAACAGTTATGATTACACTGAGTACATTCGCACTAATATCTCAGTTTTTTCAAAAAATGGAGTTAGTCGATGTGTGCACTGAACGGCTCATATATATATATATATATATATATATATATATATATATATGTTAAAGTAGTTAATTTTGATGTTGAGAAATATGAGTAAGTTCTTCAAGGGCATACATCAAATAAAAGGCAAAGATTTAGAAGTTAATCTTTAATTTTTCAAACGTTTCGACATAGTATTTTATGTCATCATCAGTGGATATAAATATGGTCTTACATCAGTAGCTAGCGCTAGGAACACAATTTTGCACTATCATATATACATTAACTTGTTTTTTTATATATTAATTTGTTGAACAGAGTATGGCAAAATATTTGTGAAATATATAATATATTTTGCACAGAGAACGTAGTTTATGTGACAGAGCCCGAGGCTGTAGTAACATGTGTTTAAAAATTTTTAAACACATGTTACTACAGCCTCGGGCTCTGTCACATAAACTACGTTCTCTGTGCAAAATATATTATATATTTCACAAATATTTTGCCATACTCTGTTCAACAAATTAATATATAAAAAAACAAGTTAATGTATATATGATAGTGCAAAATTGTGTTCCTAGCGCTAGCTACTGATGTAAGACCATATTTATATCCACTGATGATGACATAAAATACTATGTCGAAACGTTTGGAAAAATTAAAGATTAACTTCTAAATCTTTGCCTTTTATTTGATGTATGCCCTTGAAGAACTTACTCATATATATATATATATATATATATATATATATATATATGTGTGTGTGTGTTAAATTTTTATAATTTTGATGTTGAGATATGTGAGATTCAGTCTTCAGGGCAAATACATAAATTAAAAACTTGTATGACTTTAAAACATTTTTATTTTTTCCATGCGTTTCGACACATAGTTTTGTGTCATCTTCAGTGGACTCTAGTTTGAAGGCACAGACAGAAATTATTAATTAAAACTAATATATAAGAAGTGATCGAAACTAATATAAAAGAAGAAGTTTCATTGTGCATTGTGAACATTTATAATTATGAAATAATTAGGATTATTACAATTACATGTAAGTTCATACCATATCACTTCTTATATATTAGTTTTAATTAATAATTTCTATCTGTGCCTTCAAACTAGAGTCCACTGAAGATGACACAAAACTATGTGTCGAAACGTATGGAAAAAATAAAAATGTTTTAAAGTCATACAAGTTTTTAATTGATGTATCGCCCTGAAGACTGAATCTCATATATATATATATATATATATATATATATATATATATATTCTTATATATAAAAATGAAGCTCTCTTTCAAATGTCCGAATAAAACTCGAAAACGGCAGAATCAATTTGGCCAGTCTTAGTCTTTAAAAATTCGTGCCAATCCAGAGAAAGTCCAAAAGGTGAGAAATTATTTCAATAGCGTTTTCATCCGCGTAGAAACTTTACATTTTTACTTTGAAAATTTTTATAGAAGCGTAATTTAAATAAAACAATGGACGGTGCCAATTTCGTGAAATGTCAAACGCTTTTGACAGATGATGTTCAATTACGTTTAATAGGATGTTTTACGCGAATATTATTTAATTATGATAAATTTAAAGTAAGTAGTTTTGTTTGTAGTTTTATTTATATACAAAAACGTTAGCAAACGGGCCGCAAGTGTTACTAGAGACTCAAAATATAAACTTTTTTGATATGTTAATATGAAAATGCACTTTTTAGCATATTTTTCTCAAACACGGTGCTCTGAAAGATCTCATTTGTATAATTATATACTCATTGGTATTTATAAAATATTTTCTAAGTTATATTATTTTTTATTTTTGTTATTTAAATTCAGAACCTAAATTTGGTATAGATCAAATGGACATTTTGTCGAATAACATTTTTCCAGTTATAATTTCCCAGAATTTATCGCAGAATAGATATTAATATATGAAGGTCCGGGATTAAAAAGGTCGACCACCGATGTGCCAAAAATCAGTAAAGTTAAGCAAAGTTTAACAACAATATTTGAAAGTAGAGGAAAAAAGATGTATAGCCAGCTACAACCTTGATTTGAAAACGATAATCTTTGAAATGGGGGAGATAATCTTTGAAAATCCATAATAAAAGTATTTTCTTCCGTTGGTAGTTTTAGCATTAGTTAAAAATGTAATTATTTTGTAAAATACCTTTAAAATTATAATAAGGCTTTAAACCTTTTGCCACCTGCCCGTTACAAGTTACCCCGCATATAGGATAAAAAGGTCTAGATAACAAATTTTTGGAAGACATCAAAAAAGCACATTTCTACAATGATGAAGTAGAAGTCAGTTTACTGAACGTAGTCAGATAATTGTTCGTTTGATATGTCTTATTTGTTGTGATATAATTGTTATGGTTTTCACAATATAGTTTATATTTGCTCAAAGTCAAATTGGACCTTTGTGTCTCGCCCTGCTCTACATATATACTTTTTATTAAATTTACTTTAATTCATCGAATGTTACTTGAAACTTTTCAAAAAGCAGGTCAAAGAAGAAATACTTAATTCATTTCTTATCTCTCCTCGCAAAAAGTTGAAAATTTTGTATAAGCTCAGTTGTATTATTTACTATTATACACAAAATCCAGAATCTAAAAAAAATCTGAAAAACTTGAAACGTAATTAATAAGCCGAAAGACCAAAAAAGACTCGGATTGGATTATACGATGTTTTCTATAGAAAGTGTATAAAACTTGCAGTTTGATTGTATTGGCAAAATATAGACAAACTAATGGGGTTTATTGTTTTTATAATACCTAATTGTATACAGCATTCAAACAACACATCCTTATGCACTTAAAGTATTAATATTTTTGATTCCCTAGAAATGATTTAGAATATACCTTATTTAGCAAAACAACGTTTGCCGGGTCAGCTAGTGTATATATATATATATATATATATATATATGAGCATGTATATGCATATATATACATATATGTATGTGTATGCGTATATGTATATGTGTACGTATATAGTTGTATTTACATAGATAGGTATGAGTACATGTATGTTTATACATGTATATATGTGTATATGTATGTATGTATATATGTATGTATATATGTATATATACGTAGGTTTATATATATATATATATATATATATATATATACTAGATGACCCGACAGACGTTGTCCTGTACCCACCTCTACGTTTTTTTAATATCCTATACTAATATTTATACCGTTCA